GTGACAAACCATTCAAATTAATGAACAGGTGAGTGGTCCTAATGTGGCCCCTTTGAGTGGTGGTAGGGAAATAGCTGTCATGCTTCTGTAGTCCAGGGGAGTGGCTGGACTGTTTCCTCATGTTGATTCTAGACATCATATCTTTGCAGCAAGGCTTTGGTTTTTCAACATGTCGAATGAATGAGCAAGATCTCCAACTTCCAGCAGGTAAGCAACCCTACAATGTGTGATCTAATTCTGTATATGAAAGCACAAATTTACTTGAATAAATTTTGTTTACTAATAAATAGAACTTTGAGCATGTGGTGGGACCTGGGGACCTCCAGAGGTACTTTTCCATCCGGAGCACTCTGTGTAAACAGCATGGTTAGGGGCAGTATCTGTACCAGATCTGAATGGATAGTTTAGTTGAATATTTAAAATAATTCTAAGATATTTTTATTAGAATAACTATAGACTTATAACCTGCTGATTTTATATTGGAGTCCTCACCTCTATTGAAAATATTTTTTTTAAACAAAATCTATTTGCCTGTTGGGCACTGGCATTTAAACAAAACATGTAGAATTTAAAAAGTGTGCTTGAATTTTTGAGTCCAGGATTTAAGTTTATAAATCTTGGGAGAGGTTTGCTTTTTTTAAAAAAAGTGTCACATACATCTCTCCACATCCTAAGCACCTGTGTCTTCACCTGTTGGTGGGCTGTGGGGAGCAGGATTTGCCCTGTTTGTAGTGTGGGATGCTGTGGGTTGCTCTAGCCAGCCCTGGGGCTTAGTGGCATGCTGGCAAATATCTGCAGGGAGTCAAACTGGTTCCAGTGCTGATTGTGTCTGAACGGTCCCCAGACATTAGTTTCAAGATTTTCTTCAATCCTGCTGCAGTGAATGGCTGTAAACATTTCTGTAGCTGTTCAGGCTCAAGTCAAGCTGGTTAAGGCAATGTGAAATTCAAGGTCAAAAGGCCACACACTGCTAAATTTAAGTTTCAAGTTTATGCAGATGAGTAAATGTCTACTTGGATCATTTCCATTTCAGTTGCACTAGGTAAGGTATGGCCCTTCCAGCATCTGTCTCCCCCCTGCAGCTGGGTATCATAGTAATTTCACAGGATTTATGAACAAAAAAGGTCCTCCCCAAACATGTTTTCCCAAGGGTGCGAGCCTAATTGTTCCTGTGCATCCAGGCTTGTATCTACAAATGTTTGGATATGGCTCTTAGGTTTCACTTCATCATCCCTTATACAGGATTAAACAGTGTATTCTCCTGTCAGTTTGTTCCTACCACTCATTTTCAAATAGTGGAAAAACCTGAGCATTAGAGATGTTTGGGATAAAAATCCATTTGCAGATAAATATATTTGATGGGGTCCTCTCACTGGGAGAGATTGAGGTTTTGGGGCTTTTTTTTGTCATTGTTGAAGCTTAAAGGGACAAAACTGGAATACCAGCAGAAAAGTAGTGTTTTAAGGTATCTTTTTTGCACACAATTTCTTCTTCTCCCAGCACAGTGTTGGGTGACGATGTTGTTGGTCCTTTCTGAAGGCTTAGAAAAACAGACCATCTGTCTTTTAAACAGCTTGTGAGACTCTTGGTTTGATAATTGCGGGTTGTCTGTACAGCTCCCAGACGTGTTTAAATCATACTGGGTATAACCCTTCCATTTCTGCTTCCAAGTTGGTGTGTGGCTTGTTTGTTGCTGAGTAAATGCAGTCGTGGGATAGAGATGTCCAAATTTAGCAGAAGATGAGGTTATCTGTAGCAGTTACCCACCGCAGAAGAGGCACCTATGAGGAGCACTCAGTAAATACAGGAATCTGAGCCAGGTGCCCTCCCCGTCCAGGGCTCCAGGGCAATTGCTGCCACCCTGCTGATTTCCTGCAGTTGCTATAGGTGATGCCAGATGCAAGCTCAGCCTAAGATCTTCCTCCTGTCCCTGAGGATCTGGAAGTCTACGCTGTGAAGAAGTGATGAGAAACAGCTTGCTGGCTATGAATTGGCTTTGGGTCTGCTCCAGTAGCCTTAACTTTCCAAGTGTATTGTTCTCTCAGAAGACATTTTATACTTTTTTTAAATTGATGACATCTTTCACTTGCTGCTCATGTCTTTATTTACTGTTTCTTAGTAACATTTCATTACACTGTGCTGTTTTAGTGTCTCTCCGTAAAACCAAACTAATATTAAAAGTTCCCTTTTCAGTAGCAATTTGCAGTTAAATGTACTTTATCTTGCTGTTATACATAACCTTCTTCGAAATTGTTGGTGGCAAGTTATATACTGCTCAATTTAAAGGAATTTTTTAAAGTGAGATTTAGTGAAATTACTTCTCAGACTCATCATGATTTACAATTGCTTTCAGGCAATTCTGTCCCAAAAGAGCCAAGTTGACTCCTGTATCTTGTTTCTTCATTTACCATCTTCCTGGTTTTTCTTACAATTCTTTCTTTTTCCGCTTACTATTAAGAATTAAATAACTTGCATATTTGGTTATTACTAACAAACTGGGATCTAAAGGCTGCCTGACTTTCAGTAGTTCAAGAAGCAGAATTAGATACAGGTTTCATCCTGGATGAACAAGCTTTTGCCAGGCACTAATGTCTGTCACTGAATGGCAGTGGCTGAACTTTCTAAACACAGGGGAAAAATCAACAACTGTATAGCACTGATGTGAAGGGCTTGGTTCATTAAATGGATACCTTAGGCTAATGTCATAAAGAGCAGATTGGAATTAGATGTTGGTTTTGTTGCTCTCCTCCAAAACCCTCTTCAGGGAGAGTTCACTTACCTTTTACACTTGAGAAAAAACCTGGTTGACAAATATAACTCATTCTGACTGCAATGGAGACACCAAAGCAATCCAGAGGAGCTCAAGCTGTGTGGGAATATGTGTAGCACACAAGCACAGGACGAGCAAATATGGGGAAGTTGTCTCCTTGCAGAGATTCTGTCTGACTGAAAGCTGTGTAGGAGCTGGTCTGCTGCCGCAAATCAGAAATTTTCTTCTCTCAGATTTCCCCTTGAGCCTTCCCTCAAAAATGAAAATTGAAGGAAATATCCTTTAATTCACATAGTGGGGGGTATATATATATATATATATATATATACACATATCATGTATATAATACATGCTTTGTTCAAATACAGCCATAATTATATTTTTCTGGAGAGTAAATATAAACTGTGCATGTGATAAGAACATACAGGGGCTGCATCATACAGGCAATTAACAGGCTGTGTTCTGAAAAGCTGAAAGTATTCTCTGGCTTTAGGAATCTAACTTTTACCAGATGTTGATGGTAATTGAGTTGCAATGAAATTGCCCAGTGGGAAACAATTTAGCTTTTAAAATGTCGTAACTTAAACCTTGATTTAGTGTATTGCATAAAAGTGGGCATAACTTGTATTTGATACATCCTCTTTTTTTATTAATACTCTGCAAAGTTAAGTTCTTAAGGTGTCTATAGTGTGTGTGCATGTGTGTATTTCAGCTTTGTTTCCTCAGTGCCAGCTTTTTCTACTAGCATCACAGCTTATAGGTGCCCAGGAACAGTTTATCTTAGAAGGAACCCAGAGATCACCCAATGCAGGGCTGACTTAAAAAGGTTCGTCAGGGTCTTGCCTGTTTGAGCTTATCATGGAATGTATCTGTCTAGCTCTTCCCACTCATTACTCAAAAAGTCTAAGTTAAAAGTTTACTGAGGAAGCAGGTATTGAAGATTTTACATAAGAACTGCATGCACAAATACATTCTTGCTCATGCTTGTGTATATGTAATATATTGCACTCGACTGCATGAAGCAGGGAACTATTACTATGACCACACTTGTGAAAATATTTGAATTTAGCTTACTTTATATAAACACTCTGGCCTTAAGCCCACATTGTATGGTAAAATGTATAGCACAGCAGTCCTGTTCTCAGGACAAATGCTTGAAGGGGTTTTCAGTGTTTCCATTCCAACCCTCCCAAGCAGGAGATCGGTCCTACCTTGGCCTTAAAATTTTTCTCAGAAATATTTTCTCAAAGAATATTCTATGAAAAACTACATGTTTAAAGGGGCAAAACTGATTACCCTCCCTCACTAACCCCAGTAATTCAGTGGAGGGGAGAGTTTGCATACGCCTCCCATTCTCACCCTGCCTGGTTGGTTGGCCACCAGCATGGCAGACCCAGGGAACACTGAAGAGCAAACCTGGTGCTTGAGACCTGTTCCGTATGGGTAAGGTCCTGGCTGAGATGTTGTAGAGAAGCTGAAAAGCTGCTTGGAAATCTAGCCATGAGAAGCACGCTACAAAACCAGTACTAATACAAGTCATATGGTTGAGACTTCATTTAGCTGTTTCAAAACCAGAAGCATTGGCCAGTATGTGCCTCCAATGCTCAATTTTTTCCCCCACCTTCCCCATTTTATTAGTTCCTGGTTCTGGGATGCTTTCTGCTGTTTTATGGTCCAGTTGATGTAACACTCATAGTTCCTGGAGCTTTTGCATCACTTGTGTTTAAATCCCACTTTGAGAAGCCCACAGATATATGTTCTTCTACCTGACACTGCTTCACACAAATACAGCTGCCAGCTGAGAAGCAGAGTGTGTCCAACTGACTCTTGCATCTGATCTAGCCTTTCACGCCATGGACCAAAGGTAACAGCAAGATATTTTGGGACCAGGACAGGATGTTAGCCTAGTGTGTCCTTTCCCAAGCAAAAACTGACTTCAAAAGGATTGTACCGACAGAGAAGATCTTGTGGACATGTGGACAACCCTCCAGTGCATGGCCCTTTTTGGTAACAGCCAAGGACTGAACGTGTTCCTGGGTTTTGGGAAGCCAGGTAAGAGTACCGTGCCTTGCTCACATCTGGCACTCAACCACAGCGCCAGAGTTCCTCTTTTCTTGCTGTAGCTATGTTTAGCTGGAGACGTGCATGATAAGAATAAGTGGCTTATGAGGAATAAAAAAAATAAAAAAAAGTCGCTATTTAAATAGACAAGATAAGACAGAGAACAATATTAAATAATGGATGTATTTTATTAATTAATTCAGACTTCAGACAGCCACCACTTGTGCAAACTAAACATTAGTACACACATAGACTTTATTTTCATGTTCATGGCAACTGAAAATCTGGGATTTTGAATTTTAGAATACAAATGAATGAAACCCATTGCATGTAGTCTGAACTATTTCAATGTCATTGCAGAAGTAGTTCAGCAGTAGCAAAGAACTGAGCAGCTACAAAAAGCAGATCTTCTGATAATAAACAACAGCATGGTGCTTAAAACACGTTAGCAAATGCAGGGATAAGCATGGCAAGCTGCCTTATGGAGCCGTGGTTTTGCCATATGGTAACATTGCTCACCGTAGATGCAAAGGTGTAGTGGTCCCATACCTACAGTCACATCCATGTAACAAGTGACAAACCTAACAATAACACTGATCTTAAAAAGTTTTCATTTTAAACTCTTCTGGATGAAGGCCTCTGCATCAGGGGAGCCCCCAGGGAATATACTGTGGCAGTTTCTGCAGGTAAGCTGGTGGCCAGTAGCTCAGTGCTTTGCATCATGACAGAGGACCAGAAATATAACAGCTTGAGAGATTTTTGCAGCTAGTTAACTAGATGGCGTGGGGGGAAAGCTATGATAAAAGAAGAGTGGGCCACTCCACCTTTCTTGAATTACTGAAGCTATCTAAAGAAAATAACAAATCCTGTGCATATGACAGTAGAAAAAGTACAGGATCTTTGTCAACTCTCAACTAAATGAGCTGGAGTGGTGTTTTAGAGAGAGAGTGATGGGTCAGATAAGCAATCTCAGTGTGCATGGCCTGGAAGGATCATATGGAGATGACACTATAAAAGGTATCAAGCAGCAGTTTGAGGTGACTTATGAAACTTGTTGCTCAGACATCCACATCCATATGGAAGCTTCACTAGGCAGTCAGCTAGTGCCACATTTAGTATCCCACACTGCACGGGGACTATTCCAGTGCACCTGCAGGGGAACCACAGTGACCCCTAGTAAGGCACGATTATGGTTTTCTGAATTTCTCTGGACAAGATGGAGAGAAAACCTTGTTTATTTTTCTTGTAAGGATGCTACTAGGAAAACTATGTCCAGAAACCACACTTATTTTCTCCCAAAACTCTTTGGCTATTTCTTAGCTAGATAGCTCAGTGTGTGCAAGTCTAATTTACAATGCTGCTATGTGTATAAAGAGCATGGTTGTATTTTGTTGCACAGTTTAATAGACTGTATCAGAAATCTCTCTTCTCAGCAGCTGTGAGAGCCACACCTGAACCTTACTTTCTACTTATCATGTTTGTCATGTAGTCCCAGTGTAATTAAAGCATCCACAGTCTAGGCCATTACGAGCTCTATCGTCTAATAAGGATAAAATATCAAACTGCTCTAGTTTTTACATTTAAATTTATCTTCATAGCAGTCCCGTGGTGTTGGAGGTCCATGCTATGAATAGCACTGAAATGCAGTCAACAGACATTTCCGTGCTACTCCAGGGAAGGCACAGATAATTAATCGTCCCCAGTTTGCTCTACTGTCCATAATTATAGTCTTGAGTTTATAAATAACAAAGCATGATTTTAAGAACCAAAACAAACCCCTCAATTACTACAGAGTTCCTGAGATAATTAAGTCTCCAAATGTGGCTCTGAAGAGGGGAACCGAGACTACACTGCAAAAGCCCATAACATGCAGATGTGCGTAAGCAGAGCAAAGCGACAGGATGGAAAACGTCATCAGGAAAATAAACTCTCTCATCATTATTTCACTGCTTTTTACCTAAAAAAACAATGGCCTATTGTCTCGATTCACCCTATTGTTCTGTTGCATTTTTTGTTATTGAAGGAACCAACAGTCAGTCAGTGAGTTTCCTGAGGAGTAGCAGCTTGGGAAGCTAAATGCAGTATCCTTTGCCTAAGGCTTGTTTTGCTGCAGGTTTATGGAAAAACAGGAAAGGTAAGTTACTGAGGTAAATTTAAGCACACGGTTTACAATTCAGATTGTTTGGATACCCCCCCCCCCCTTCAAATAAAAACACCCTCTGGTTTTGCAAGTACAGTGGTTAAAACCTGCAAAATGGAGCAGAACAAAGCTGTGCCCTGTTGCATCCCTGCTTGATGGACGTTCCTCTGTTGTTACTGGGCGTTGTGTACTGCTAGGGAAAAACTCTAGTCGGGAGCCAGCGCAGCAGGAGGCTTCATTAGCCATGAACAGGAGCAAAACAGTGCTTCAGAAGGAGTGGTGCCCTCTCTGAACAATCAGCGTCACCACAACAAGCACATAATCAGCTGGACAGCCTGTAACACATGCTTTGGATAAAGGCAGACCTGTGGATACAAGACAGCTATGGCTTAAGTGTTCCTAAAGATCTTTGCCCAACAAGGAAACAAATTATACATTACAAAACTTACAAAATACATGCTCTGTTCTTTCTCTGTTTAATATCTTCCTTGCTCGAAGCTTGGCTGTTGCCCAAATGCATCCAGAGCAACGCCTGATGATAACTCAAAAATGTGCAGTTAATCTGTGTGTAGCTTCAACTCCTGAATGCCAGGAGCAAAAGCGTACTTTTCAGAGAGAAATAGGCTTGGTCACACAGCATAATCAGGTTTACACAAGTTTTTAGATAACCAAGATAAAGGAAATACTTCTGTAAACTCATCTGAAAAAAGACGAAAACTCCGAGTTGAAAAATTGCTCTTTTTCAGTGTCATTTTATCCACAAACCAGCGTAAACCCCAGTAGAGAGAGTTTCCTGCATGACAGTGAGTAAAACTTTAGCTTGCTGGTCTTTTTTTGTGATTTTTTTTTTTTTTTAACCTTACAGCTATATTTCATCATAAAAACTAGTTTGAAGAAAGAGTAAACTTTTGCTCTTTGGTCTATCTTGACATTCCTCCAGAGACACATAACAGGAATATTTCAGATTCATTTTTGTCTCCTACTTGCAGGAAAGTTGCAGTTCTTAATTTTCAGGCTTCTGAAATGAGAAAGATAAAGAATTTAAACGCTGAGACAAGACATCTTTGCTTTCTTTATAGTAAAAAAAAAATAAGTAGAAGCATTACAATCTAAAAGCAGTGGTTCAGTGAAATTGGATATTTTTGCCTTAACCATAATAAACAAAAATGATTAGTTATGCCACATGCACCTCCTACTTATTATCTGTGTAACCCTGCTAGGTGAGAAACAAAAATCTGTACTTATGTTTCAGTATGATACAGACTTCAGACTGTACATTACTGTAGCAATTGCTGAAACTCAATACTGGGGAATGAGACTAAAAAAGTTATTGTTTTTGTTTCATACGATCCAGTTTTGTGGATGTAAAGGAAAGATCTTCAAACTAAGACAAGATGAAAACATCTAACAAATAGTTTGCAATTTTAAAATATCAGTTTTGGTGTCCTGCTCTCATGGACTTCTTTATGGCCATGAAGATGCCCACAGGCAAAGCTCTGGGATTTCTCTCACATTCAGAAAAGCTCCAGGGGCGGCAAAGCATCCATGAGGTGGTCTAAAATAATTCTGATGCTCTGCCATTTTTGAAGAGGAGAAGAGTGCAAGAATATATCTGTCACTGTGGACAGTGGTGGTCTTACTAAGTCAACACCAACCAGGGAGAACATCCCAACTCCAACTCCCACATCAACCCAAATACTCAAAGCCAAACTGGCCCAGTAAGAGCAGACACCTATTGCCACTAATTAAATTTGAGGGATCCTTAGAGCTCACAAGGGTCCTTAACAGACTTTACTTATGTAGAGTGGGAGAGTGGGTCAGGTTCATGAATTCCCCTTACTGTGCAAGCAATACTTTTTTGTTTGTTTGTTTGGGTTTTGTTGTTATTGGTTTTCTTTTCTTTTCTTTTAATATTTCTTCCTATTGGCAGACTTGTCTCCATGTAAGTCTTATTCTGACTGGTGGTATCTACAGACCCAAGGAAACAATTTCAACTTCCTTAGTGTATGAGCTGGGCAGTATAATTTAGACGGGACAGTGGCTGGTGATGAAGAACTAGCTAGATTCCTTTGGGTTCATTTCTAGGTATTAATGTTTCATTTTTTGATAGATCATGTTGTTCATACAGTGAGACTGCAATACTCTGCGTCCATGTATTGGCTATTTGTCAACAGAGAAAACCAGAGCTGACTTTTATGATAAAGTTTTTGCTTCTATGACTTTTTTAGCACATATTCTAATGACTGGTGTTCTGCAAATTTTTGTGAGAACTGTCATCTGCTCCATTAATGCAGTGAAGTGGTAGAGAAAAAATCAGACTAATGACAACCAACATTTCAGCTCAGTCAGACCCTCACACAGCATCCTGAGAAGCAGGAACTTTTGCCTGTATCTCACAAGTCTGATGACGATATGCATTGCAGAGGAGGATATAAACTGTACACTAAAGCAACTGTTCTCAGCTCTGCAGGCATGTTTATAATGAAACATCTGTAGCTCTTCTGCAAATCTCTAAATATTTTTCAATTACAACATCTTAAAGATTTGAATCAGTCCTAATGAGTTGGCACAATATCATATTACGTTGTACACTATATCACTATGAAAAGAATTCAAATTAAGTGAAAACAAAATCCCTCGATCTCCCATCATAGAAACAAAGACACAAAGACCTCCTAGTGTGGTATCAGCTACAGTGTGGGTTCACTTTGGTGAATGTGTGAAAAGAAATAATACTAAACTTCTCTGTGGAAAGTTGGAAGTAAAGACTACATGGGACTATTGTGTCTTTCTTCATCCAGAATTAGAAATGTATAAATCTAGCACATGAACCAGATGAATTTTAGAGCTAATGAATACTTGACTACTTTGTGTGGAGCTCACTAGGTATTAAAATACTCTCAAGGCATTTATTTAGAATGTTACAAGTAGGAACACACATGAGTATGTGCCTATATTGATAAAATATATATATGATCAAGCTGGTTTTTTCTTTAAAAGGCTTAAACTTACTGAATCATTCACCTGTCTGGTGCCAACAATACTTCTATAATGAAATTAAAATAATTTATTAACAGTGGGATATGTACGCTATTTCCTACCTATTATGTTTTTGTGACTTTGTCTTTTAGTTAGTGATGGTATTTTGTCAGATGTAAACAGAAATGCTATCAAATTTAACATTTTCATTTTATGCACAACTTCCAATGAAAGGTCTTCACAGTTGGAATGGAGTATTTTGTCTGCTTAATTACTGTTGTTCTTCAAAACTCACCGATCCATGGTTTGGATGGATTTTTGTAAGACTAGTCAGTAAACACCCAATTAAGGAGGCTATGTGAATCTGCATGTAGATCTTACATTAGTATTCTACAGTCATTTCAAATGAGTCAGAAGTAATTATGTGACTGACACTTGATGAATCAATATGTACGCATCAAGCCGCCAGACATATAATGCGCATCGGTAACAAGAATGGGATATATGCCAAGAAGTAGTATGCATAACGCTACCCAGCAACAGAATAGTCAGTGATGGTTTGCGTGTAGGGTAGTAATTACCTGTGCATGCGGGTTAACTTTCAAGCTAACTGCTTTTTACTTGTCTTGACTGGCACACCCAAACTGGCAGAATCTGCTCTCACCAGATGTTACGTAAACATTCAATTAGGGGCAAGTGAACAGTTAACTTGGTCTGGTTGGGTTGTGCAAACCTCTCCCCTCCTCTGAGCAATCCATCCAAACACCGAAACAAAAGCCAGTCCTCTCAAACCAGAGTAAAGGTTTGCTAGAGCAGGGCTGAACCACCTGGGCACATCCACCTCAAAGCTGTGGCTGATCTGGGGTCCCATCACAGTCCTATTAGCTCACAGTAATATTGTTGTTCGGTCTAAAAGAAACTGTTTTGCTTTCCAGACCAATTTACTGGGGGAAAGGAGAGAGTTAAGTGATGAAAGGAGAGAATCCCATCACAGGCACACATGGTTTGTTTCAGTCAGGGTTACATTCTCTCTTAGTCCGCTTATTATGTTACAAGGTTAAAATGGAGTAGCATGAAATATTTTCATAACATCTTGGATTTTTAAGTGAGGAACATGTGCTATGCAAAATTAAAGCAGGACACCAAGAAGATTAAGTACTTAGAAAAGGGGAGGAGGTAGTGGGGGAACTGCAACCTTCGAGGAAAAGGGAGAGAATCCAGCACGAAAAACAGGCTAAGAGGACAGCTCTGTGTTCCTGGAATGCTTGTTACCATTTGAGAGAGATGAAAGCAGTTACAAAAACAAAACATGAAAAAAGAAAGCAGAGCTATGAACAAGCTAAACATCTCCCTGGGTACCTACATAATGATAGACACACACTGCCACACAAGTGTAGTATCAAAGATTATTTCTTTTGAGCTAAGATGACACGCTTCTTTCAGACTGGCGTTTTCCACAGCCAAGAGCACTACAGTTGCAGAGCTGGCTTCTCCTCAAGCCAAACTGACAGTGCCACAAAATCCGAAAGGCACCATTAGTGTACACTGGCAGTGTCAGACACCATTCAGCAAACGAGAAACCCATGTGATAAAGTGCACATTATGAAACATTTCCTCAAATCCTCCCAAAGTGTGTGAAGTCCTTACTGAAACTAGGGCCTAGATAAACTCCTGACAACCTTTTCTATATACATCCTAGAAACAAACATCTTCCCCCAAGCTGAAACAGGAAAATAGAGGCTGTTGACTGACCTGAATTTGGACCTCACTCTCAAAACAATCCTTTCACTTGCTCTGTGACAGGGTCAAGGTCGATGTCATAGAAACATGGCCTTGTGGGCAGTCCTGGCATGGTACTCATCTGTGGAAACAATGAAATTAAGTTATACTAGTGCACCTGTAAGCAGATAATCACTCCACCCATGTAAACCTTAGACTAAGAGAAAGGCTTCACTTGGACTGTTCAACATAGACTTGTCTGCAGATGTGATCATTACCACATTTTTCGTTTCTGTTAAAAATGTCAACTTGGTACTTTTTTGATTAATTTTCAAGTATGAGCTTCCAAAAGACAGGAAAGGGAAAACAAAAGCCACAAAATACAGGCTAGAATAGCAACCTGAGAATAAACTCCATAACAAAATGAAAACCCTGGGACTTACTTTTTCCTCAAAATATTTATCCAGAACATTTATCCATTTATATCTCCTGAAAAAAAATCACACAGCAAAGGGCAAGGACATAATTGTCTGAATTTACCCTGTGATACAAATTTGTTGAACTCAGACCTTTCCCACAGAAAACCAGAAAAGAGAAGCAGAATTGATTGCAACACTTACCTAATGTAAGGAACAAATTGAAATAGTTCGGCTAAACATACAGGGATTACAGTTGAATCCTAATTTAGTAGTTAGAATTAGCAGGTTGAGATATGAAGCTAAAGCAACCCAATTATCTCAAACTATGCCTAATTAAGATCCTGATCTAGCATAAGACACCATCATCTGCATACTTTTAAACATATGAATAGTTTCATGGACTTAAATTACACAGATAACTACAGCTCTGCTCATGCTACTTATAACTATTACATGAAATTGGCATTTTGTCAGCAATTAAAGACATGAGGGTGACATGGGAACCTTGAGGTGCTGGTATACAGTAGTTTAAGCCACTTTAAATGAGAGGTACCTCAGGTTCTCAACTCCCTGCCTCAGGACTCCCTACATCTTCCTTGCAAAGGAGATGTCTGGAGAGCAGGTTTGGCAGAATAATGCTGGGTTTTGATCTGCTGCTTCTCCTTCAGTTTCAGCACCTTGAACCAGGAAGGGCTTGCGTGTCACCAGTGCCACCACTGGCACAGGGTAAAGGTTGTGACTGCTGTGGGGCAGTCTTAAGGCAGGACCAGTTTGGATGAACCTGGATCACTTTGGATTCAAACCCTTAGTCTTTCTAAAATGACAGTTAGAAACCCTGAATATCTCACTGTATTTCAACTAATTCGAGGCACTCTAAAAATGACTCCTTAAATTCTTTTGGTATCTTAAGCTCAAAAGTGGAAAATGGCCCTGCTGTATTAGGTCCTATATTAATACTTAAATTGATGAGAGACCATACAATCTCTGGAAACAAACCTGGAGTTCAACTTAGCTCGATTGTATGTTGGCTAAGAGTCTTTAAGCATTAAAACTTATTTAAGAGATGCTAGATTTTGAGGAACAAACTTTTAGCCAGGACACGTCAGCAGAGCTCATTAAAACTGGTGATTAACCTGACCACAGGATGTAACCTTCAAACATGGCTGTATAGAAAGAAGAAAAATTACACTGGCTTGAGTACCAGAAACACTTTAAACTTAATAACTGACAGAAAGATTAGAGTATGTTTTCATGATGTGAGCTGAAGCACATTGCTGAAAGAGGACAGTTTCACCCAGTGAACCGCTGGGATGACTCCCCCTCTTACTGCAGCCAGCCTTATTCAACACACTGAACTGATGTAAATACATGTTTTTGTGGGCAAGGTTGGTTGGCTCATAAATTAAATCTGTTTGTTACATGACCAGATCACCACCAGGCCACTGGCTGCAGGGGAGCAGCCAGAGTACGCTGTGGCCAGCCATCACCTCCAGATCTCCAGCTGAGAGCTCAGGGCTGGGCAAATTCCTCCCTCCATCCTTCCTAATTCCCCAAGAAGCACAGCTCAGCGATATATTTTCTCTGGCCACAGGCAAGCTCTAACAGGCTAATTGGCCTCAAAAGAGGAAAAACACATGACCACCATCCTAGCTCCTCCAGAGTGCCAGACTTACAGGCCCCCCTTGCTCTGGATCAGACTGCATTTCTTTATGCCAAACTGATCTGCTGCATATTCAGAGATGGGGTTAATGTCTGCTTTATGCTTTAGTTTCACTCCAAACACACTTGTAATTTCTCTATCGTGGGAATACAAGCAAACTGTAATATCTCCCCACCACAGTCCCATTAAGTCCAGAGAGCTCTACTACCCTTTCAGAGGTTAATCTCATGTTGAGAAGAGGGAAAGGAGTCTCAGGGAGCTTCAGTACTGGTGCAGCCATTATCTCACTTGAGGTCTAGTTCTAAGAAAAAACAGTGCAACAAGCTCTTCTAGTGGACTCACAACATTTCCTCTGTTTTTAAATATAGTACTTTCTGATGTTTTGTTATTCTATGTAGTAGGATTAAAAGACAAAACTGTCAGTTTACACTGACCAAACCCTGCCTCTGATTGCATGACATTTATTGGCTGACATCGTCTTAGCATCTTAGCTAAGTACTAAAACACCTTGCTACTATTCTTTACTCATTGGCCACACTAGTTGGACTACTACATTATTAGGGTTACTGAATTACTTTCTGTCTCAGTTTCCTCCTGGTTTCTGAGTTAACGCTTGACAAGGAACTGCCTTAATGAATTACATCTCACTAGGAGGGGAATGAACAAATTGCCAAAGACAACTTTCTTGTTACTCCGTGTATGGCAATTTGACAACTGAAAGTTAACTCCCAAATTCCAGTTTTTTCCCCTTTTTTTTTTTTTTTAAATTTTTTAAATATAGCTACTTAAGGGGAGTTTTTCCCTATTTTTAAAAAAGAAATATTAAAGACAAAAGCCCTACATACATATTTTGGATTTCTTTTTTCTTTCACAGGCCTAGTCCTATACCGGTGTAAGTCCTCTGTATTAACTAATGGAAAGCTATTACATCTATAAAATGTGAATGTCAGACTGGTTTTTCGCTGGTTCAGGGAACACAACTATTCTCAGACTGAAAATTTAAGTCAACAAAAGGGAATGGGTTCATCTGAATTAAAATTACTGTTTGATAAAATGAAGTACAAGGAAAAAAAAAACAACAAACCAAACACAAAAAAACTTGGGAAGAATGCTTATGTGAATTACAGAGCGAAAATAAAACACATACTGTCATTTTCCCCATGGCCCAGACTTCCAAACGGGCAAAGCCAAGTAGATTTATGATCATTACTCTCTGTTCTCATTATCTGGATGTACAGAGGTAACGTGCAGCAGAATCTATCCCTTTTTCATTACTTCAAGGTCAATAGGAGGAGATGGCTGGCTGCCTGAGGAAATTACTACCGATTATTCCCTCTCCAGCCCTCCATTTCTTTCCTTCAACCAAGTAGGTAGGAAAGAAAAGAGGGCTCAATCAGCTGCAAGGCTGAATCGAGGTTTCAGCTGACTGGCTTTCCACATGGAAAATGTGGCTCAGAATGATCCTCTTCCCTCTCACCATTTTCCATGATGCTGGATGAAGGCATTAATGAGTGAATACACAGGCTGGTCTTTACTTTGGTAGATATGACCCAGAGGCATCCCTCTCACTAACCCAAGTCAGAGCCTAGATTTCTGTGCATGGAGGGGAGATGCTAATCTACCCCCCAGCTACAGCACATACTGCACCTGTACAGCAGCTGGCAGACTACCTCTACCTCTCCAGGCTTTCTTGATAACTACTTACTAAAATTACTTCAATTCTAAAACTTGAAAAAAAATGAGAATGAACAATGAAAGGGAAAATATGCCTAAAACACAAATCACTTCGGTCATTATCTGGTATGAACAGCACAAAAAAACCCCACAGAAATTTACAGTCCTACAGTCGCTTGCTAGGCATCTCATTAAACATACACCCTCTATATATTGCATAGAGATCAGCACAACTCTCCACACTAATATAACGACATTTGGGTTTAGACTGGTAGCTATAAAACATTGCACAGCATGGCTTTGAGAAAAGAACAGGGTTAGAAGCAGCAAATAACAGCACATTATCCACGGAAAACCACAGACTAAATTTAGATAGCTGAAATAATCAGTATTTAATTTGACCAAAACTGCTACTATTATACTTTCCCTGGGAGAAGGAAAATACAAAGCATAAACCTTGTACCTTAAGGCTTTATGCAATTCATATGAATGCTTTATGCAGGGAAAAATAAGGGTTTTATAAAGAATTCATCCAGCTGCTGTCCAAGATATATCATTTATGAATTAACAGGAACTAGGTTTTGCAGGAACTCACTGGAATCAACCATTTTTTCTACAAACTGTGCAACTGTCCATGCATCCATGAGAGTGAATCAACTGCAGAGAGGTGATGTGAAATGGACATTGCCTTTTTATTACTATGGGACTCTGTGTTTAGGAGGCAAAAGCAGCAAGCCTTAGGGTCAGTTTATCCTGAGGATAATTTATGCTTCTGCAAAAGCACAACTGGTGGAAGATAAACCACAGTTTTAGTTAAGAATGCCTGAAGGCTGCTGTTATAGCAGGCATTTATGAACTTTCAGAAGTTTACTTACACGAGTAAATGAAAATGCCAGTTATTTTGTAGGAAGCCATACAAAAATGTTGTTCCATGCCCTCTCCAAGAACACATCCACTGTCACTGGAAGAGTGACTAAGTTGACTTTCATTTAAATTGGAGTTATGTGTTGACTTGTAATTTTAGTTGGCCATAAGATCTACATAAAAGTTACACAGCACCGTGTAAAAACACAGTAAATGTGTCAAGCACCAAGACTCTGCTAGACACATTTGTTATGGTCCCAAGAAGAACTATGCTGCTTACCTTCCTTTTTTTATCATAAGAATGCCCATCAGTCATTGACATATCCCACCTTTAAGTGTGTGTCCATCCACCCATATATATCTATATATTTTTTAATTTATCTATCTACATAAAAAATCCTTATAGAACCTCAGATTGCCTTAACTGGGTTAGGCCAATGGCATGACTGGCAAAACACATGGTCTTGAGGACTACATCCAACTCACGTTTAGTGTCTTTTTCCCCTATCAGACAAGATGTGTCTG